GTAAAATTTTCACGTAGATTTTTACATGCGATCGACTTTCTTGATATGGTCATATATAGAAGTGTGTGTGTGTGCATGTGTACAAAACACACACACGTCAACTCAAGGTAAGGATTATAACTTTCGAAAAACTAATATGTATTTCCACACGCCGATTCCAACAACCGGTTCGGCTGTCAGTTAATGTAGCAAATTGAAAGTGACGTGAGTTGGTTCAGCTATTTTTTTTTCTCTCTCGAAATTTAATTCGAATTCATTTTAAATATGGCTTGAAAGTTTCTCTATCCAATTTGATGCGATTCGTATTTTCGATCGAGAAAATTACTGTCAAATGATCATAAAGTGATGTTTCACACATAGCTTTCGAAGCACTTTGGGAAAGACGTCGCCTAATGTGCAAAAGATCATGTCAATGGGAAATTCGCTGGCAGCTTAGTTTGTCACATAGGCAGACAGAGAGACAGAACATCACGAGCATCAATTTAAAAGCAAGTGTCATATGTGTTTCGAATGTGCTTTGAGGCGGTAACGGCTTGACTTGAATATGACAAAAATAAGAATCTAAGCCGTTGAGTTTTTTTCTTATCTATGTTCATAAATGCTTTGCAAAATCCGTATTGTCTCCAATTCAGAACTTTTCTATTTTAGTACAACCGACAACAGCAACAGCAACGAAAGCAGGCAATAATGCTCTGCGATATATATTCTTTAATAGATTTGCCAAACTTTTTCATATCAACTCAAAGTCTCTATAGCGCCAAACCCTCACATTGCGATGGTTACGAATGGAGCGCGAACGCACGCGTCCAAAATCGTACGGCACATACATTCCGTTGATGGACAAAAGTTAAATTCAATTTCAGCTCCTTCACATCCATTTCGTGAAACGTGTTTCAATACTTTTTTTTCACTCCCTATCTCTCTCTCTCTCTCTCTCTCTTTGTTCATTCCATTTCACTCTCACACCCAATGATGAAAAGAAAAGAGAACGAATAAATCTTTACACTTTTCGCATCTTAACAATTCTCGTTGTCAATTCTATCTCGAAGCAGCCAAATTGAATTTGATGTGTTGGTACGAATTTTCGGTTGCTTTGCTGTTCAGGAGATTAAATCGATTGTCTGACAAGAGCATGGTGCTATTTTTTTGATCGTCTATGTGTGTGTGCTAGTGTGAATCATATCGTATTTAGTAATCACTAGTTAATTTGCTCATGCATTTGGGAATTCGATTCGGTTTCGTGATCATCAATAAATAAATACGTGTGTACGTGAGTTGGTTGTTAGAATTTCCGTTATCCGAATTTCCACCAGATGCACTTTATTTATTCGACAAATTATGATAATCAATTCATTACCACACACAACTATTTTGACGGTTATATACAGCAAATCAGAAATTGTTTGCACGAAAAATCCATCGAATCGATTTTTTTTTTCATTCAACAAATAGAAAATACAAATGTTTTTTCTCGTGTAATTACAAATGCTGCTTTGTTTTCAAAAGTAATTTACGAGGTCTGCACAAACAGTTTCTTTAACGCCCTTTTGCCCCTTCGTAGTGGTTGATATTCTTCAATTCATTCGTCATAATTAATGACGCCGATTTTTTTGATTATGTGTACGTTTTGTCGCAGACACGTTTGCTGTCTCATTAATTAGTCGAATGATTGAAGCGTCATTGTGGTTGCGACCAGGATTGAAGTTAGTAATTTTGGCATGAAAGTTTTTATCATAAGTTCTACGTCGATCGGGCATCAAAGAAATGAATGAAAATCGTCTGAATGAGGTAATAGATGTGCATTAAATCAGCAGGAAAAAGTGACACGTGATAGGCTAGAATTGGTCACCGGCGGCCAAGCATCGAAAGAAATGAGACATTCATTTGAATTGCGATAAAAATCAAAATTCATTTTTCATTTGCGGTGGCATCGTAATGGATTTGCACAGACAATTTAACAATGCTCTCAAAATGACAGACGTGCGTCGTCTTTTGTGCTCGCGGCGGTTAAGCCACATTTATTTATCGGCTGTCAGATCGAATGCGGCCACGTAAATGATAACCGCACATACTCTCACTCGCTCCCTTGTTCTCTGACAATGAAGTCAATTAAACTTAAAAACCGATGGAGATGTCAAAATTACAACATTATCAGTGTTCGTCGGGGTTGTCTGTGCTGCATAAACCATGGCACAAATTTCGCATTGAAAACAATAGCTGTTCAAAGTTCATTATCAGTTGAACACATTCCAAATACATTGAGCGCGTGTGCGTGGTCGCGCAAGTATCAAGTAATGTGTAAATGTCATTCTCAATTGCATCGAAACCTGTTCCGTTTCTTCAACGTTTACCGCCCGATGCGATTTATTTTGTTTCCAGACACAAAACCACGTCACACTGCATATACACGCTTAAGTGGAAATTGTGTAAATAAATTTGTTAGAACGTCGTTATTAAAGTCTATGTTCGTAAATTATAACAAATATTATGTGCCATTACTGCTGAGCCGACCGCATACGTAGCACAAAATACACGCACCGTCTGAGTAATGTAGTGGTGTCGAGAAAGGAAGAGAGAGAGAGAGAGAGAGAGAGAGAGAGAGAGAGAGAGAGAGAGAGAGAGAAAGAAAAATACGGAGAAAGAAATCTCGCGACCGACAATTGCTCGTATATTCACGCATCCATCCATCCATCCCCCCGGTTCGAATCAAACCGAGTGACGGAGTGCATCTGTAACGATAGAACGGTTGTTTAATATCGCCCAAGCATTGACAGTAATGATGGCAGTGGTTAGGTTGATTAAGGGCATTAAGAATTCTAGTCATCAGAGAAACATGTGCGTGTGTACATTTGCGAACGAGACAGCACCTAGCTAGCTGCTTCTGCTACCATTCAGCCCGGCATTCATATTCTCATTTTAGTTTTGCCTTCATAGAAAATGCGTACGTTTTTGTTAACGCAGTCACGTAGTCGAACGCTTTCCCTTTTTAGTTTAACTCCGGCATACATTCAACCGCCGGATTTTTTTTTTCTTCTATTTTACTTTGGATGTAGTTATTTTATTTTCGCCTCGGCAAAATTTCTTACTTTCATCACCACACAATTTTCCATTGTGCGACGCTAACGAAACGTGTACCAACTCGTTTGTTTATCTTTTGTTCTGTGTGTCTGTTTGTGTGTGTGTGTGTGTGTCTGTGAGTTCGCCGCTCAAATTTTGTATATTCCGGCACGTTTGCCCGTACAACATTTTCGCCCGAAATATAACAACACAAAAGGCAAAAGACGAAAAACTGACAACAGTTTCGATTAATGAAAGCGTCTGTCAGATCGAATTTGTGTCGACATTGCTTCATTTGCCATTTGTATTGTGTTTGCAGTTTTTTTTTCTTGTTGGTTTGTTGTGTTGCTTTGTAAATTTGCCAATGCCGCTCTGTTTTCGTAATGATGATCAATGTAAATGAATCAACAAACAACGACAAAAGGATTCATTGTTTTCATTTTGAACGGATGAAATAAAAATCGACCGTAGAATTTTGCACTGACCGTACATTGTTCGCCGTACACCGTACAACAACGGCGTGTCGAAAAGGTTTAAATCGAAGATGATAACTGCTGAAGTCATCGAAAAAAGCCACCCACCATTTCATAACGCCGTCATTGTCTCAACTTTAGAGCGAGATCGTGCTCGTATCTTTCTTAATTACAAAATGTTCAAGAAACTATTGACATATTTTTTTTGTTCGGCGAAGGAACAACAAATAATTAAGGGAATTCAAAATAATTAAAAACTTCGATAGTATTCGAAATGGAGTGCAAATTTCCGTTGGACGGTCGGGCTTAAGTCATAGAAAGAGCGAAAGAAGAAAAAATGGAATCGAGAAGTGGCGGAAAAACTCTCGTACACAACAATTCGTGACTAGTTTTTCCACTATTTATTTCTTTTTTGTGCCGCTTTTCCCTCTGTGTGTGTCACCGATGCACATAAATGAATACGAGCGATTAAGTGGATGGATGAGTGGAATGTGCAGGCGCTTTCTTTTTAACTTGGCAGCCTTTTTTCGCTCGCTCCATCTCACTACTTTGTGTGTGCAACTCTTTGGTCCTGTGAGTTTGTTTGTGCCATTTATTTCTCTCTCTCTCTCTCTCTCATTTTTTTTTGTTGGCATTGAGTTTATTCACCTTGTCTCAAGTCGCATAATTTAAGCACTTATGCATGCATGACCCGAGAGTTTTAGTTTTCTGTACAAGCGAATGCACAGCACATACGTCCTAATGCTGCTGCTGCTCTGTCTCTAAATGAATGCGGCTGCTGCTGCTTTGGTCCTCTCTTCCTTTTTTTCGCTTCTTTATTATTATTTTGGATTTTAATTATTTCGCATGCATCTGCAGGTTTATAGCATTCAACCTGCCTATTTTATACGTGTATTCATCAAAAGAAGCCATGCTAGTTGCGCTGATTCATCACAAAAGGCATCAAATAAGAGTACGACTTGAATTACATTCACAAGGCAAATTGCACCTCGTGCTCTTTTGTTGATGTCGATTTTTGTTGTGTGTGTGTGTGTTTTTTGCTTCTTCTTTTCGTCGTCGTCGTTGTCGCATGTTTTAAACTAATTGCATCGAATGGCTTGGAATATATATAGCGAAATGAATACACGAAAAAAAAGATTGAAACGAAAATTACTCCCATAGGCTCTGGGTAAAGAAGAAGTTACCTGGAAAGCACCATACTCACAATTTCAATTAATTCTCATCATGATTACCGCGCGCTTTTTTCTTTGCTTCTCTTTTGCTTCAAAGATAGAGAGTTCAGTTTTTTTTCTCTCCAAAAATTCGTTGCTTTGAATCGTGTTGAATAACCGAAAAAAATCAAGTGAATTCATTTCATACGCAGTTAATTTTAGATGATTATGACTTTATTTATTTTAATATCATAAGTTTTTTTTCACATCATGTGAATATTTCCAATGGAAATTGCTTTTTATATTTCTGAAACAGCATTATTCTATCGGTGAAGTTGGAATGACATATTTAAAAAATGGATAAACAGTTGGAAAAGATGAAAACAATGAAGAAAAATGTCCAAAAAAAAAAATCGTATCGGAACAATTGGTTCAATTGTTGCTGGATACACTTGATTGGTCATTTCGCGTTGAGGTAACACTTGTGCTTGGCGGTCGGTCGAAGAAGCGTGCAAAGAAATGTTCAGTACCTTCATTCGAATCATCATCGTCGTCGTCGTCGTCATCATCGCCATCGTTTGCATTCGGCTGGGATTCATCCGATTGCTTCTTTTTGATTTCATTGATCAATCGCTGCTTTGCTTGAATCTTTTCACGAAGTGTTTCCACGTCACCCAATTTCGCCAGCTGTTCACCAATCGCGTCAATCTCCGCTTCGACCTTTCGGCACTCTCCTTCGATAAGCAGTTCTTCAGCAGACTACGAAAAACAATTCAATAACAAAAACACAACATTCAACAATCGAAAGAAAAATCTTCAAAATCCACACTTTTATGAACAAATTCACACTTACGAGTTCTGGCTCTTTCGGATTTTCCACCGTGTCGATATAACGGTTGACCGCAATCAGTTGTTTAGCACATTCCTCCTGGTCATTTTTGATTTCGGAAGACCCATCGACCAGTGTATTAACAATTTTGCCAATTTCGTTTTTGTAGTACGATTTGTGGTATTGCCTACGAAATTTTTAAGAGAAAAAAAACACTTAGCCTTCGTAATTCTTGCACCGATGAATAGTTGTTCTGAATTGAAAACGCATTTCAAATCTCGTTTCCTTTAATCACACTTACAGTCGGGTCAACGTTTTAATTTGTGTGACAAATCGATTGTTCTCCTCTAGGATTTGCGCCAACATTGCATTCAATTGATTTTCGTTGTCTGGCAAATCCATATCGGGATGTTTTTTTTTTTGATGCTGCACGTAAATTACGAGACGATTAAATTCAAAAGAAAACGAATGCAACTGATATCAAGAGCGTCTCTGGATTGCTTAAGTTCAACCACAGGAATGAGCGATACACGTATGCGTTTTTGCGAAGACTCGGTTCATTCGAGAACTGAACCTGCGAAGCCAACCGATTCAATGGACATCAAATTCGAATAAACAGTTTTTGACGTTTCGGCTTCAAAGTAGCGACAGTATACGTGTGATACAGTTTTTCTTGGTATTCAAACGTATTTCGTTAAAATACTGTACACAAACACACAACTCTCACTCACATGCAAAGGGCGGCCACGTCTTTCGGTAGAATTTGTTGATGCCGATGATGCAGTTCACGGTTGAAAGAAATTATCGGTAAAATTGAAGGTGAATCGAAAACTGAACCGTATTCAAAGCAATCGAATATTGTTCATGAAATATTCTGAGTGATATTCTGAGCTCATCTATTTATCGATGGCACTTAATTCGATCGAAGTGCTGCTAATAACAGATATGAAATTCTATTGAGGGAAAATCTCAATGCCACCACAAATACCAATGACTACTCTAGATGTCATATTTTGAATATTTGTACTTATGTTTGCCTTTGGTCATGGCCCAGTTTTGTCGACAGTGAGCGCAACGAGTGTAATCGAACTGTCATGTTCAGGAAGTGATTGAAAATTCAAGCCGAATATGATGAAGTGTCACTTGAGGTAGGCAAATGAAAATGGAGAGCGCACAAGTCGAATCGATTTATTTACTAAGCAACTTGTTCGTTGAGACCATTCATAGCTTATGAAACTATCATTTGATCGCAATATTCAATGCGACAACACGTTTGTATTGCCGATTTTTTTCTAAAAAATCACCACTAAAACTATTGGAAATGCACTCGGAATTTGAGACGTCACTTCATAAATAATTTACGAGTCAACCGATTTCTTTGCGTTAGTTCCCCATCAAATCCGTAGTAGATCAAGGGATATCATCGCATTTTATAAATGAACCGTTTTCCTCTTTCTCTTATCCGGCGAATAAAAATGTGACGTTTGTGGTTGAGACGATATGAGGATTTATTTATTGAACCGCATAATTTTCAGATTTAGTTTTGCCATGAGTTGTAGCAAATTGAACTTCGGGATGCTTCGTGTGTGCCTGTGTAAACTGCAAACACACACACACACACACACACAGCCAAATGCTATGTTGATTGATTTATAGCCGCAATTTCTTTCCACTTAAGTGCACACTTTTATCTCTCAGCGCAAAAATTTTCAAAGTATATTACTATCGGCTTGACCAACAGTTGGCATACTATAAATCATAGCTGGATGGAGGGAGACGAAGATAGTTTAGTGTGTACACACTGTACATTCATTCGTTCACATAATCCTCGGCTATTCCTAAGACATCAATACAGCAATACAGTAAATCTACAGTTAATACAATCAACGAATCACAGTGAACGGATGTATTGTTTGCTTCTCTGCTGAAAAGGGTTCGATTGTAGCCGCTCGCATAAACAACACAGGCGATTTTTATTTTCGGTGCGAGTGTCGATAACGGTTTCGTTGGTACAACAAACATGTTTATGTTTCACTTTATTTGAGTTGAAACGAAACATTGTTTATTTGGATATGGCGATTGCTTTTGCACTTTGGCAGTTCGAATATGGTGTTGTTTACAAGAGAACGAGACCATAAATATTCTTGCTGAAGTGAGGAAATTGAAATGATAATCTGAATTTTTTCTCTTCATTCGTTGCTTTTTCATAGCAACTCGCGTAGTATTTTTTCTTCTGTGTATTATGTTTATCTGCTGGTGACGAGAGATTCTGCAAAATCACATCATCTGCTGTAAACGTGGCGACAATCATTTAGAAATATTATCAGATAATAAATCTAAAATACGGAATTTTAACCACTCCTTGGTGACGTGCCTGAAGTAATTGTTTTCACAAACTGAAAAATGAGTGGTTTCAACAGTTGGAACGATTGAATTTGTTTCAGGATGGAACATGTGACGCGGAGGGCAACCCATATGCGTGCAAGCCAATTCACAAGTAAAATGAACATTCCAAATGTCATGACATCAACACAAATGACAGGCACAAATCCAGAAATGTCACCAATACCAAAAAGAATGACAATGAAGAAATTGAGAGAAAGAGTGAGCGAGCGAACGAGAGAAAATTAACGAAAATGCAACAAATGTGGAGATTCTCTTAAAACTATTAGCTGTGTCGGCTGTTGAATGCGACGTGTGTGCATTAAGTCATCATGTCATTTGAAGTGATGTGCTCGCGCTCGATGGCAATGAGTATATCGTAAGAATGACAATAATATCACATCATGCATCATGTTTGATGTCACTCTCTTTGACTCTATCCTTTTCTCTTTCTTCCTCCCTGTGTATTCTCTTCTATTGCGTTTCGGTGCATTGTATCGCCGAATATTTATGGAGGCTAATGTCGCCACAGCTTTATTTCGTAATTAATTTTTGAATATAAATACACATCGTATTTTTCATTTCGTCAGTTTAGGTTTGCGAACGCGAGTGCGCGCGCGCGTGCGTTCGAGCACATCAATTCACTTTGTGTACTGCATCGGTTTTCAATTTCAGAGAGCAACAGACGAAACATTTGTCCTTGTTTTGCGCTACAACGAATCCATGTGAATGAAATGTTGAATTCCTTTGCGAACACAATCATCGTAATCGTGTCTCGTCCCTTTATATTCGTTAACTTTTCTCCTCTTCTTTTTTTAAAAAAATAAATCAATTACAAAGCCGAGCAACATGCGGCAGTAATGACTATGAACGGAGTCGAACACTTTTTATTACATGTCTGATGTGCACAGAGAAACGTTCTCTGTGAGATCATTCGTTGCGAAAAAAAACACCAAAATGCAAACAGTCAAGATGCCGCAGATCAGACGAATTTCTACGCAAAAAAAAGCAAACGACACACAACACCGCACACACACAGAAAGAGAGAGAAAGAGAACAGAGACTGGCTGAATTGTAATACGATATCACACTTTAGAGTACGCTCTTTAAAATGGGTTTGTTCATTTATGCGACAAATATAATAATATGATGTGACAGTTTGTTTGGGTAAGAATTTATTTGCAGTTCGTTTGTGATAAAAGGAGCGAGAGCTCGAATTTAAAGCAATTACAAGCGAATAAATCAACTTAAGCAGTTGTGAATGCGATGTCGCGTATGAAAAAGAAACATATACACGCATACGCATACACAGGCACTTTATGTGGGCATCCATGGTTGTGTTGGTTCAAGTGGTTTCCTTTTGCACTATACGCAAATGGCATTCGAAGATAAATGTACAGCACGCATAATTAGTCATCAGTCAAGTGTGGGTTCAGAAAATTTACGCGCACAACACAATGATAAGTTTCAAAACTAAAATTCTAATAATCCCGTTGTACCACAGCGACCAAGGCCAATCCTTACACACTAAATGCTATCGTTTATCGAACGACAATTAAATGAATTTGCCGAAAATTATTTTTTTGGGGTAAAAGTTCGGTGTGGTTGACGATGATGGCGGAGGCTGCAGCGGATGAAGTGCTGGCACAGTTGTGTGCCGATTTACAAATTCACGATATGGACGCAGCGGCTCTAAATAGTGGAAACTATTTTAATATGCCATATCAAGTCGGTATCCGAAAATGTTCGGCTTAAAACATGCGAGCATAAGTTACATACTGTTTCACATTTGACAACACACATCAACAGTTTGTGCGAGAGCATGTTCAGGCCGATGATACGCACACACACACATTTTCTGTATATTTGGGTTTATGCATGTCTTCACACGTTTTCCATAGATAGCAAATTCGGAATTTTCCTCATCTCGAAACGATTTCTATCTACCAAATATATATTATTTTGGATTGGAGATAGTTTTGTGTCGCATGTCGTACGTATACGCTACTTCTAATTGCATTTGAGCATCCGAAATTCATGCACTGTTTCTTTTACAAATCGATATGACTGGCAAAGACAAAGCGGGCGAGCGAACGAACGACAACGCTACCGAAGGAGTTTGAGACGAAAAATGCGAGAAATTTGTGGTTAAGGGTGCATAGTGGCAACACATTGGAACTAGTTGTGTGCTGCCGCTGTTGCTGCCTCTTCTGCTGCTGATGTTGAGCGTAATTCGTATTTAGACCCCGTCATTAAAACGTTAAATAATTTTATTGTGACAAAAACCGCATTTCGAGCTGTTTGTTCTGCTTAACTTTTAAGGACACTAATTTGGTTTTGAATTCAGTTTTACGAGGCATGAATACGAAACGGCAAAACGAGAAAGAGAGAGAGAGAGAGAGAGAGAGAGAAAACTAACTTCAAATTGTCTGCTTTCGCTGCGATATGTTCCGTCTGTTTGATGGAAGCTAGACACATCTCGTCGTAACAGAACTTAATCGCTTGTTTGTTTTTGGATTTTCTTCATTTGTTCATCGGCTGCAATTATTCTTTGTTTGAATGTCAAAGAACTTTTGCGACGTGAGCGTGTGCTCTTGTGTGTGTATGTGTTGCTCATTAAATCCCGGCTTTTTTATACTACATGCAAAAAAAAGAACATACACACCAAAATGTAGCTTCAACCAAATGCCGGTCAGAACAACGCACACGTAGCATATGATAACAGCCTAAAAACTCAAACCCTTCGATAGATTTAACATTAATTGTTTTATGCTGTCGCCGTACATGTATGTGCCGCCATCATTTCGCATATATATGGCAACACAATTTGATGAATCAAATTTGTGGTCGAATATTTGAAACTTCATTATTATGCTTAACAGCTGCTGTTGCAGCCGCTCTTGCGTACACACACGATCAAAATTAAATTAAATTAAATTTTGTCTCTCTCTCGCTCAGTGTGCTTATCTCTTGTTCTTCCTCCTCGTTGTCGCATCCACATTTTAGAACGCATAAAATTGTCATCGTGTGATTGGCCGAATCCCATGGCCAAAATTGGTAGAACAATAAGCAAACATCGTACATAAATACTACAATCATTTTGCGTTTTTCCACTGTCTATCTGAGCCACGACACTCCCTTCATTTCAATTTTCATTTGAGCATAAA